TATTGTGCAATATTGTTACACTCTGACAGACTGTAGTCCAGAAGAGGCTCCTGAACCAGGTGGGTGCAGGATCAGGCTCCAGTCATTATCTCCAATGCCCCATATCATGACTTTCCTTTCCCAAACACAAGGAGATTGTTTTAAAACCGTGAGGTGCATTTTTCAATAAACTTGGAAGAGTTTAGCAGCCTTTCAGAAAGGCTTGCATCATGTTTGCAAGCTCTTCTGTGGAACCATGAGCTCAAGAAATTTCAATACAGCTAAGATTGGTAGGAAATCCAGTTATGTCATAAGCTTTAAGAGAACCATGAATGTCAGAAGACTTTCAAGAGAAAATAAGGACTCACAACCCTGATTATCACCACAACAGTTACGAGCTGAGGTCTGATGCACAGTTGAACCTTGCCTGTCTCATGGGTTCTTCCAAAATACACAAGTTAGGCCTAGAAACCAGTCAAGGAGGAAGGTATACATCTTTTTCACCTCACCTCTCTCCCCAGCCCTGGCTCTAGGCACTTGGAAACCCTTCCAAGGTAGCTCAGCTTGCAATCACCACACCAGCTCATGTGGCTACATTGACTGTCAGAGGGGCCTTGTAGGGCCTTGATCAATCTTTGACTGTAACAGGACGCATTCTTGATGGGGCCATGCTCATTGGAGTGGTGTGAGCCTCACTGCTGGTCCCTTTTGAGAGGGTGAGAGCTACACTGAATAGGTTGCATCAGTGGCAAGGCAACTGAGGTGTCAGCAGTTAAGTGGGAGTCTAGGGCATGAATAAGTCAGTGGAAGTTTCAGGTGACATCGTGTGCCTGGGCGTAGAGGAGCTGTAAAGCTCAGCACATTGTCAATAATTGAGCAATAGGGTCACTGTTTGATTGCAGGGCAGAATAAGGCCAGGATACTTTAAAAGTGGAGTTAAATTGTATTATGGGCATGCTCCAGCAGACTGAAGGAGGACAGAATGGGACTAAATATCCTGGAAGGTGACATAGTATCCTAGACAAGAACCTAAACAACAAAATCACAGGTACTTTTTCCATCACTTAATTAGAGGCTTAGTAACAGCAAGAAGGATGGCTTTCCATGAATCTCACATCAATCTTCACCTCTGCACAATGAGCTGGTGATGTCTTGTTCTGCTTAACATGTGTGTGTGAAATTTCGTCCTCCTGCTCATGACAACATTGCAATGACAAGTGGGAGCTGGTGAGAGCTTTGAAATCAAACCTTCTCCCCTCTCACCCTGCAGAGAGCATCCCAAAAGTTACCCTTGGTAGGTTTCTCTAGAACACACATGTTCAGCACTAGCGATGAGGATGAGGTGAGAGAGGGAAATGGGTGCGGGCTTCTTTCTGGATCTCAGTGAGAATGACTTAATAAATTACTTAATAAAACTGCTGTTTTAATAAGGTAGAATAAGAAGAGACATATAGCTAGCAAGTAAATCTTATGTCCCTTCAGATGCTGAGAACCCTGTATTCATGCAGCATCAGACAGACCCCAGATGGATTTTCTCTTGGCACTCTGTACAGAACCTGCCTGTGGATAAGTTCCTCCTTTTTAGTCATTCAAGATACACAATTTTTCTTAGAAGAAAACAACTCTATTCTTAAAGGATGTTCACAAGAAGTTTCTTGCTGCACTTTAGATAAAGGCAAGGCCACGCAGGTGGCGTAATTGCTGGTACCCAGCAGGAACTGCCTGTAGACTCCTCTGTTACAACCAACCAGCTAAGTTTACCCTACAGCCAAGGGTCATGTGTAGGGACACAGCCTGGAGGCCACGCTGTACGTACAGTACAGCACAGACCTGCACCTACTCAGGTTAACTGTTATGTGGATCACTAACTCCTCAATGTACAGTGATCTCCCAGTCAGGGTTGCTACAGCAGGCTGTCAAACTGCAAGGTAACTCAGTAACTAGAGAAGATTCAGATCTTGACGGGGTGGTTAACCAAAGGGCCTCAAATTGAATCTTCTCTAAGCTCTTCCAGTGCTTATAGAGTTCTTGATCCTCTCAGGCATCTCCATTCTGCCCTCTTACTCCCAGCTCCCTCATTCCTGCCTGCCCCACTCTGTCCCCTGCAGCAGCACTCAGCTGAGCATCCTCTGTTCCTCACAGGGAAGAAGCATCCTCCTTGCTCTCCATGGGTTTCTCCCAGCATAGGGTGCTGTAGCCAGAACAAGGCAGTCAGACAGAGACACAGCCTGTTGAACAGAGCATACTGCACACAGTGCTTCTTACGGAGCAGCTCAGGAACAAGCAGGTGAGCTGGGTCTCCTGCCTTTCACAAAGAGGATTTTGCATTAATGACCTTCAACATTGAACCCTCTCCAGCCTCTCATTTTTCCAATGTGGTAGATGTTAGATTGTGTGGTTAAAGGTTCATCTCCACAAACATAAAGGAGTACAAAGGAGAAATGACAGGCAGAGGAACCTCAGTAACCTAGGAAGAGGCAACAGAGCACTCTGATGTGTCTTTTCCCAGAGTTGTCACAGGAGAGGGATTGACCACATCGTCTGGGTATGAGACCCGCCAGACAAGTATTGACCCTCCCCTGCTCACCTGACAGACTGAAGGAGGAAATGCACTTCTTTGGCCATGCCCTGCATCTGAATGTCTGTCAAAGACAAAAAAATAGTTTAAACTGTGAACGTTAACAGGCAACACATGACTTGGTGCATGTGCATAGCAAGGTCTGTGTGTGTGAATGTCTGAAACTGAATTCTGAACTGTCAAGCAGAAGCCTGCTGCTTGCTAACTACAAACAGTAGGGACTGGTTGTAAATTTTGGTAACACCTGGAATAAGCAAAAGTGGCATGTCCTGAATCCTACAATTAATAAACAGATAGGGGACAGAACCATTAACTAGGAGACTGATCAGGTACTGATTGTACTACTTACCTAGACAATTTAGACTAGGAAAACTGGGAGCATGGGGTACCAGAAAGAAGAGGTGATGCCAGAAAGAAGGGTACCCAAAAAGAATCACAGAATCACAGAATCATTAAGGTTGGAAAGGACCTTCAAGATCATCAAGTCCAACCGTTACCCAACACCACCATGCCCCCTAAACCATATCCAGAAGTGCCATGTCCGCATGTCTTTTGAGCACTTCCAGTGATGGTGACTCCAACACCTCCCTGGGCAGCCTGTTCCAATGCTTGACCACTCTCTCGGTGAAGAAATTTTTCCTACTATCCAATCTAAACCTCCCCTGGCGCAATTTGAAGCTATTTCCTCTCATTCTATCACTAGTTACTTGGGAGAAGAGACCAACACCCTCGTCACCACAACCCCCTTTCAGGTAGTTGTATAGAGCGGTAAGGTCTCCCCTCAGCCTCCTCTTCTCCAGACTAACTGGTTCTCCAGGAACCCCAGTTCCCTCAACCGATCCTCATAAGACTTGTTCTCCAGACACCTCACCAGTTTCGTTGCCCTTCTTTGGATACGCAAATTTGTTTGCATTTGTGTGGTTTTGTACACGAGGCAGCTGGGTAGCCATGGGAACTGGGGACTAAGTACTAGATAAGCTGTCTAAGGTCAGCTACTGATGAGACCTGTATGGCTTCTGTGTGTACATATGTATATATTTTCCACTGAGTGTCTTTTATCCTGATTAGCCTGACAGGGAACAGGATCAAGGCTGTGCTGTTTGTATTTGGGCAAGGGCTTTGTTTTCAATCAGTGTGGGTCTATGTGACAGGGCATATGTACGTATGTATGCATGTGTAGGTGTGCCATTTGGAAAACATGCTCAGCCTCACTACTTGGCTGAACATGGGGACATAGTGCTGCAGCAGTGTTGTCCTGCATCGAGATACTGGACTGGGCAACTCCTAACAGTGAGATTTATCCTATGCTAGTATCTCAGAAACAAAAAGCTCTGTATGCTGTTGGAGGCAGGGAAATTCTGGGACACAGTGAAGGCATAAAGCGGAAAGTGAGGGAGAAGACTGTGACTAACAGAAAAGAAACCCATAAGAATGAAGGACCAGTAAGTAGAATGTCATCTAAGTACAATATCACGTCCATTTCAGAATAAAGTGGTGTTTACTTTCTCGAAGGATCCCCAGAGTTCAGGTATGGAAGTCTGGGGATTTATACTTGAGATTAATTTTTGTACTGCCTGTTGGCAATCAAAACAATGTCCCTTCAGACACATTACACAGAAAATTTTGGCTTTAAAAACAAATGAATGTAGGGAGCTGAACAGAGTGGAACAGCTCTTTGGTTTGCCTGTTGTCTGAGAAAGTACGCAGAACTTTCTAGTAAGGTTTCCCTAATCAAAAACACGGAGCTGAACAAATCACATTTATCCAGATGCTACAGGTAAGGAAACGTTTGTGTATAAATGTTAGTAACATTCTTTTAGCACTAATTATCTGCTGTACATCTAAGTGTAGCTCTCAGTTTGTCCAGCAATCTGAAGTGAAGTTAGATATACAATAATGGAACAAGCAACTGCAGGATTCAATATGAATGCATTTCACTAAGGTAAAGAGGACATAGCAATGGATTAGAAATGCTAGTTGGTTTAATGGTAAAACTGGAATTATTCTGTGCATTGTGCATTCATTTTAATATGGACTTAATTTAAACTACTTGCTTTGAATATGTTCTGACTTCACCTTAATCGACATCTGCAATCTTCATCATGATAGAGAGCTGTTACTTTCTCCAGCAGAGAAACCCCAGCCCTCCCTCCGCAACAATCCAGAAAAAGAGACATCAAAGGCAAGCTAGGCAGTAAAGTTGTGCAAGATTGCTCAAAAATGCTCAAAGTTTGTACAGAGATTAGAGCTTGCAATTCATATTTACATCACTCAGCATGGTGAGGGTAGTGTGCACTTTCCATGGGAGTCAGAGGGAAAAACAGGGAGAAGGGAGCCACAGACAATATTCTTAGGAAAACTCTCAATTTTCTTTCTTTTTCCTTGATCCTTCCCTTACAGATCTCTGTGGTCGCAGTTTGTGCTGCTTCATCTCCAGCACAACATGCAGAATGAAACAACTGTCACGGAATTCATCCTCCTGGGGTTCTCCAGCAACCCAGCACTGCAGCTTTGCCTCTTTGGCCTTTTCTCTGTCCTCTACTCTGCAACTCTGATGGGAAACGCACTTGTCTTCGTGCTTATCTGCCTGGACTACCACCTCCACAGCCCCATGTACTTCTTCCTCTGTCACCTCTCCATCGTGGACATCTGCTACGCCTCCAACAACGTCCCTTATATGCTGAAGAACCTCCTTGGACAAGGCAGAACCATCTCCTTCGCTGGGTGTGGGACACAGATACATCTTTATTTAATCTTTGCACTTACAGAGTGCGTGCTGCTGGCCGTGATGTCTTATGATCGTTATGTGGCAATATGCCATCCCCTCCGCTATACCCTCATCATGAACCGGAGGGTGTGCCTCACCCTTGCTGCAGTTTCATGGGCTTTTGGGTTCGTATTTGGTACACTGCAAGCCTCTCTGGCTTTACACCTGCCTTTCTGTGGCCCCTGCGAGGTTGACCACTTCTTCTGTGAAATCCTTGCTGTCTTAAAGCTGGCCTGCACTGACACTACTGCCAATAAAGTCCTGATCTTTGCTGTCTGCGTGTGCTTCCTGCTCTTCCCTTTAGCTTTAATCCTAATTTCCTACTTGTACATCCTGGCCACCATTCTGCGCATCCGCTCTGCACCAGGTTGGCAAAAAACATTCTCCACCTGTGGCTCCCACCTGACTGTGGTGGGTCTGTTTTATGGAAATGCCATCTTCATGTACATGGGGCCTGGGAGCAGTAAGTCATCTGGGAAGGAGAAAGTTCTTTCCCTTTTCTACAGTCTTGTCATCCCCAGTTTGAACCCCCTGATTTACAGTCTGAGAAACAAGCAGGTAAAGGAAGCCTTGCTGAAGCTTCAGGGAAGGAAAAGAGTCTTGCGTTTCCTGTAGTTCAGGCTTTAGGCTTTCACCTGTCTCCTGTCTCTCTGCTCTTTCTTCTTTGGGTATTTCTCACTGAATTTCAAGTGGTTAAAACGTAACATGAGAAATTATTCAAATGCATTTGTCTCTGTTTCTCTGTACAGTCTAATGAATATCATAACACAAAATGACTAACTATTATTCCTTTGATTAGAGATAACTAATTATTCTTCCTCATATGCAACCATCATAGGCAGGTAGTACGTTTTACCAGAACTATTGACCCAGCTGGAAAAACTAGTTTGTCTTCTCAGTTCTAACTAGCAGTCAGAATAAACCACTGTGTAGCAGGTATTTTTCTATTTCAGTTGATCAAATAAGATTTTATTATTCCTTACCATATTTGTATTTCCTGTATCTTTAGGATATAGGAGATAGGAGAACTTCAACTTTATTGTTAGAAAGAAAAAGAGGGGAAACATAATGCTAATGGGCTTTGCTTCTTAGGAGTGTGAACAAGCTTGTGAAGGATTTTAGGTTTTTGGATTTTATGCAGGAAGTAAATATGATGACAACTACAGTGCAGAAACTAGCTTTGCGTGGTTTTGCCAGGCTGCTATGCACAGCAGTTCCTCAGACTGGGATAGCTGAGGTATCTGCAATCTGCAGTGTAGGTCTTGCATTGACCCTGTCTCAGGGTGTAAGCTGTTAGTGCCTTCCTATTTACCCATATTTCAAATACCTTTCTTCCTGCAGCTCTATTTGCTGACAATTATGCTTTGGAAAATCTTCCCAGGTCTCTGTGTTGACACATCTAACTAGGAGGTCTAATGGTTAAAAAGTGCCAAGTATTCCACCAGTTTAGCAGTGTTCATGGAATTAATTGCCTGCAGAATCATTCCTTCTAGGAAATAAGGCTGCTAACTGGGATAGGGTTTTCAAAATAATGGACTACATTCAACACGTAATTCCTCTGGACCTTTCTACTTGGCACAAGTTTATAGGAGAAGAAAAAAATCTCCCTACCCCTCATCCTAAACAAGCCTTTGAAGGTTCCTGTCTTATATCACAGAATCACAGAATCACTAAGGTTGGAAAGAACCTTCAAGATCATCAAGTCCAACCATTAACCCAACATCACCATGCCCACTAAACCATGTCCTGAAGTGCCACATCCACACGTTTTTTGAACACTTCCAAACTCCAACACCTCCCCGGGCAGCCTGTTCCAATGCTTGATCACTCTCTCAGAGAAGAAATTTTTCCTAGAACCTAATCTAAACCTCCCCTGGTGCAACTTTGAGG